CAAAACACGTTGCTGAACCTGCCGGATGAGACCAGCAGTGTTTTGTTTTCCTCTCGAGGTTTTCCTTCTAGACCAGCTGCCAGCCAAGACTAAGGGCCTAGTCTGTCCTGCCATAACATGCAGTTTTCACGTCGTATGCTCTATTCCTAGAACAAGGCTAGTATTTACCAATGTCCTTCCTTGAATTTTCACATCCCACTTGTACATTTACTTTTCAGTGGAAACTAATTCGCCATTCTCTCTTTATGAACAAAACAGATACTTTTGTAGTTGATGGAACAGAAGAGGTCCTATTTTCCACTACTGTGTCAAAATTTAAAAAGCTAGAATGGCTGTATCTAACACTTTCTATGTATACCAAGTATATCTTTCATGCTCTTGTGTAAAGTAAAGATAAAACCACAACAGAGAATTATTTAAGAATAAATCAAGGCGCATTCACAAAGCAAACAATATTATAGAGTGACATAATTAAGAAAACATCGTATCATAATCCATACAACTTTTTCTGTCAAAACTACCCATTGAATTTGACCGTCATTTGTCAAATTCTCACCCCGAAGACATCGTTTCCCACATTTTATAATAATGACAGGAAAAAAACATTTTGATATTACCTGCACTAAACAGTATCACAATTGCAAGTGTAAATTAACAATGCCTATTGTCTCTAGTACTCAATTGTTACACAACGCATACACTAAGGTCAGTCAGATAAATAAATTACTGTAACAGCCATATGAAAAGTTTATCAAATCAAAATAACTCAGGAACACACAAAAGGTGAACATATTTATAACAGGTAGGAAATGATTCCCACATATTGACTCCATTAGGAATCAACAATTTATTTTTAATACAGGGGAAACAATCCAGTAATCAAGGTACATTGTCAGGAAATACAAGGGACATAATTAACGAACACAAGGGACATAATTAATGAACACAAGGGAAATAATTCATAATTTATATAGCAACTCAAACAAAAACTAATGTGTTTTTGAAAATCATGTGTATATAATAAGGCACTCTTTGGAGAAAACATAATATGCGAACAGATTAAGTTAAAATAGCATATGTACATAATTTGTTATACTAGGACGTAATGTATTTTTCAACGTACATACAGCTTTAGATGAAATTATGTTGATATTTCATCAAGATTGACTGTTTGTGCATTTCGGGGGGGGGGGGGGGGGGTATTCTACTCCAGTGTGGAAGGCAGTGCTTCATTTTTTTAATGACCCACTTTGGCTGCTGCTGGGGGCCCTAATATAACCCAGACTATGATTTGAACAGGGTTGTCAGTTATATACGACCCTTACGTCCTTCTTAGGACGTAATTTTTTGTTATTTGAAGCCCCACTCTGGCTTTTGCCAGGGGCCGCAATATAGGCAGGTCATCATTATGGCCAAATGTCTGAACGCGGTTTCTGGGACCTCTCCACGGTGATCCTCATCCGCATGGTGGCACTTTGTGTCATCGGGTGTTTATCGCTTGTGTGATGTCCTGGTGGGGTAGAAATTTAGTCAGTCAGTTGGACGGGGTTTATGTGACCTATCACCGGGTGATCTTCATCATCATGGTGGCACTTTGTGTCACTTGGTGTTGGTCGCTCGGTGTTGTACGCTTGGTGTGATGTCCTGGTGGAGTTAAACGTCACTCACTCATTAAACACATTACACATATTCCGACCACCGATATTAGACAATAGCTTACTTGTATCCGTGGAACACCATACCTGACTGTTTCTATTGGATTTGCATCAAAATTGTAGGTCTTCTAGTTATTGGAGTCTCACTTTTTACCTACTACCATCCATTATCATCACGTCCCTGGCCGGCTGGTGTATGAGTTCACGCATCTCCAACAGATCAAGGTCTCTTGTTCTCTGGATCAGTTACACCGATGATATCCTTCCGTGCCACCGCCGCAATCCATCCGTCATCATCTCTCTCGGTCTGACTCTCCCTCATCTACCGTTGATCTTTCCAGTCGTCACAATATTACCCAAAGCCACCCCCCCCCCCCCCACTCCCAAAATTAATTGACCAAAGAAGAGTACTTGTCTTTTCTGTGAAGCTGTATATATTTATATTTCTACATTAGCTACTTACAATCAATTCTCGTTGGTTGCTCCGGCAATCTAAGGGATTATGACCATGGAGGGGTAACATGGCTGGTTGGTTGAGGTAGTTAGTTGGTAGTTAGTTTGGTGGATCCTGGTTATGTGGTTAGATTTGGATGTTCCTTTGGACACATTCCTAGATTTTCACCGATTTCTTAGTTCCTTCACCCAAAAACACAGAGGTGACACATTTCCTACATTCACCCTACATCACAAACACAGAGGTGACACATTTCATTATTTCTTAGTTCCTTCACCAAACACAGAGGTGACACATTCCTACATCTCACCGATTTCTTAGTTCCTTCACCAAACACAGAGGTGACACATTCCTACATCACACCGATTTCTTAGTTCCTTCACCAAACACAGAGGTGACACATTCCTCTATCACACCGATTTCTTAGTTCCTTCACCAAACACAGATGATCTCCATAGTGTTCTTGATATTCATGTAATATTTCCAAACGCAGCTGATAATATACGTATAAACTGACATGACTTCACTCGAGACACTTCAACCCCTTCTTCACATTCATATTCAGTAGCCAACGAAGAGCTGACAAGCATCTCCTGCTGTAAATATTGTACTGTATACGCCTACAGTAGTAGAAATGAACATCAATACACATAAGGGGCCAAGTCATTTTGAACTTCCACCCAGCAAATGATCACTGACATAACGTGCTTTGCTGATACGCATAGACCATTATATTTACACATCTTAAATGATCAACAAAGTCTCGTAAAGGTCCAAATCTACATAAGGAGTTTTTTTTTCCTTCTTCAATACGCTGTTGCACTTGACAGCTCTTTGAGACTCTCAAGGGCTGTTTGCGATGATGGATCAGTCAGTGTGTCCCATGCTGGCTGTTACCTAAAGATGTGACATACCATCCTGGGATTAGAGAATCTTAATGTGGACGACACAGCAACGAAGCCAGTGTCAGATTCCCCGTTTAACCTCTGAAGAAGTTGCTCTAAATAGAGGACACATGAAGGCTATACTCGCCCTATACAGTACTATACAGGTGAGGTCTCTTGTTCGATGATTGCTTCTGTTGGCACATTTTCAGTCACTGTGAGAGCCGCTTGGAAGCGAGTGAACAGTGCATGGGCACAGATAGATCTATAAGGTCTGAGGAGAATGGCACTGAGACAAGTTACAAGGGGATCTGGTCGACACTCAACACTCAGGGGAGACGGATATACAACCAGACAGTTACTGGTTCCATTAAAATTCTAACTCTTCGTTTGCTGCTGAAGATTTGTGCGGAGCGCTTATAGGGGTGTCCCGAGTGCTATGATGTCGATGCTTAATTCAACATTCAACATTCTATCACTGTGTCATGAATCATGCATGTATGACAGTGATGGTGTTGTTCGTGTGCGTGTGTATGTGTGTGAGCGTGCGCGTGTGTATATAAACACATATACATGCATATATACCAAATCTAAAAGCCCGACTTCAGCTTTGTGTCACTTGATGTTTATCGCTTGTGTGATGTCCTGATAGGGTACAACAAGCGAGCACCCCACCCTGGTTGTTGCCGGGAGCCTTAACCTAAGAGTTGAACGGGGTTTTCGGGACCTCTCCACGGGTGTTCCTCTTCTGAATGGTGGCACATTGTGTCACCGGGTGTTTATCCCTCTGTGTGATGTCCTGGTGGGGTAAAAGGTCAGTCAACACACGAAATACAAAAAGTGTTTGTGATTTCAGTATAGATATATAGTTTTGCAATGTGGTCATTGTGGATACGAGAAAATTACCTCTAGAATTTCGGAAGACTGATCAGCGGTAGTCACAAAACTAGGGGTAACTTTGAAGGCTACCTTCAATCTCACTCATCTAACGGTGACCATTGTCTCACCTACTTAAAGGTCAGCTTTGATAGCACTCACCTGCTAGAGATCCTTGAGGAAAACAGCCGCCCAGGTACTCATTGATCAGGCAGGACACATTTGCAGAGTATGACCAATTAGGAGTTCGGTATTTTCAATTCAGACCCCGAATCAAAAAATAATATATCAAGTATTTCATCAATTCTTACAACCAAATCGGCAATTGAGAACTAAAGACCACGCAAGTTTACAATAAACCAACTACTGCCAAATTGGCTCAATATTTTATGCAGAAAACAGATATTTAGCAGAGAAATTGTATACTTCTTTCAGTTGTAATAATGTTATTTAGTTGTATTGTACGAAAGTAGCCGTTCACAGAATGTCTTTAACCAAACAGATCGGCCTATGTTCGTCCCGCTCGACATTAGAACATACTCACATTTTCATGAAAACAAAATTACTGTGTTACAGGTAACGAGTGATCTAGATATTGAAATTTTGGCCGCTAATGAACATCGATTCGGCTAACGAATGTTTTAGTGGATGAGCGCACTAACATCAGCCTTGCTGAGCGCTGAATTTTTGCATCAATCACATCTTGGCTAAGGAAGATTTCGCATAACGAATGATTCTGGCAAGAATTTTTCTTCGTTAGTCGAGTATCATGGTATTGAAATGAATATTCCCCTATCTAATGTGCGGTCTAGACCATGCCGTTCTGTGTGTGTGTTGTTTGGCGAAAAGATCATAGAAGTAACTCTGCATATGAAACCAAATGAACAGATGGTTTCTGATCACTACAAGTCACTCTTTGAAGGGAAAAGGTAATGCATCTTCTGTGTGATATTTAAAAAAATTTAAAAAAAATAAAAAAGTCAACAACACATTTAAAAATTCTTGAATATATCCTAAGTTCCGATCACAGTTGAATGACAATTAGTAGTGTATCCTAGCATTTCTTGTGTCAAACGTCCTGGCACGATATCACGGATCCAGGCCGAGGTGTCAGTGGATAACCCAGGTCGGTTAAAACTCCGTGGCTCCTGAGTCCTGGTAGAACGGCTGGGCAGACCTGGCAGTGTGGACTGGGCCAAACTGGGGCTTGGGGGCAACACTGGGGGTGAGTTGCTTGCCCTTTCTAGAAGGCGGGAAAACAGAAAAAAAAAAAACAACACTCGGTCATCATCATTATCATCAACTTTATTATCTTAATCATTATCTTCAACTCCATAAAAGCAATAACAATAATGACTACCAGAGAGGATAGCCTCACTGCCCTATCGCCCAATCTGTAGAGCTGATGTGTTCTTAAAACTCAAGTTCTGGGACAAGACTAAAGTCCAGAAGTGGACGAACCACCAGAACATTGCACTGGAATTTACAGCTGGTAAGCTTAATTCTAATCATCATTAGCACAGTTTTAATAAACTATGAAAAAATAATAATAATTAATAATCATAGAAACAACCAAAAAAAAAAAAAAACCCTCATCATCATCATCCTCACCGCCATCATTGCCATAATTTACATTATCAACAATCCTCACTTTTGTCACTTTCATAATCAGTATCACTGTTATCCTTATATTTATCACTTTCATAATCAGTATCACTGTTATCCTTATATTTATCACTTTCATAATCAGTATCACAGTTATCCTTATATTTATCACTTTCATAATCAGTATCACTGTTATCCTTACATTTATCACTTTCATAATCAGTATCACTGTTATCCTTATATTTATCACTTTCATAATCAGTATCACTGTTATCCTTACATTTATCACTTTCATAATCAGAACCACTGTTATCCTTATATTTATCACTTTCATAATCAGAATCACTGTTATCCTTACATTTATCACTTTCATAATCAAAACCACTGTTATCCTTACATTTATCACTTTCATAATCAGAACCACTGTTATCCTTATATTTATCACTTTCATAATCAGTATCACCGTTATCCTTTCATTTATCAACTTCATCATCAGGATCACTGTTATCCTCACATGTATCACTTTCATAATTAGTATCACTGTAATCCTTACATCTATTATTTTCTTCTTCAGTATCTCTGTTATGCTTACATTTATTATTTTCATCATCAGTATCACCGTTATCCTTAATTTATCACCTTCTTGATCAGTATCACCGTTATTCTTCCATGTATCACTTTTATAATCAGTGTCACTGTTATCCTCTTATTTGACACCTTCATTATCAGTATCACTGTTATCCTCTTATTTGACACCTTCATCATCAGTATCACTGTTATCCTCTTATTTGACACCTTCATCATCAGTATCACTGTTATCCTCTTATTTGACACCTTCATTATCAGTATCACTGTTATCCTCTTATTTGACACCTTCATCATCAGTATCACTGTTATCCTCTTATTTGACACCTTCATTATCAGTATCACTGTTATCCTCTTATTTGACACATTCATTATCAGTATCACTGTTATCCTCTTATTTGACACCTTCATTATCAGTATCACTGTTATCCTCTTATTTGACACCTTCATCATCAGTATCACTGTTATCCTCTTATTTGACACCTTCATCATCAGTATCACTGTTATCCTCACATTTATCACCTTCATCATCAGTATCACTGTTATCCTCACATTTATCACCTTCATCATCAGTATCACTGTTATCCTCACATTTATCACCTTCATCATCAGTATCACTGTTATCCTCACATTTATCACCTTCATCATCAATATCACTGCTATCCTCACATTTATCACCATCATCATCAGTATCACTGTTATACTTCATTTTTGTGCTAAGACACTGTGGTGTAAGAGGGAATGAAGGAGATGATTGGCTTGCTTGCAGGGCTACGGTAGGTACAGGGAAAGGCAATGGACCGGCTGACATCATCAATACTCTCAAGGAGGCAGGAGGAGAAGATGATTCTAGAGACGACGCTGAATCGACAACACTCAAAACACTATAAGAATTTCTGGACAAAAGGGTTGTCGCCAGGCATGAACACTATAGAGGCAGTCAAAGAAGAATAGTAAACAAAGAACTAGTAACATCAGTCTCCACACGCTGAGCGATGTACTGAAGATGGAATCCGAATGCTTATTGACTTGACCCATCTGCAATGTGGGTAATCTGTCAATTAGCTATCAACAAAAACAGAATGACCACAATCAGAGAATGATTAAAAAGATTGAACACGAGTACCGAATTACTCTATAAAATTTAGAGACCACAGACATGAATACACAGCCGACGAATGCTTATGTATTTTTAAAACAAACGTGACAATCTGACCTACCCGGTACCCTCCTGACTGATGAACCGAAGCACAGCGGACTGGCTCCAGTCTCTCTCACCCGCCTCGTTCACAGGAGCAGCGCCACGTTGGCTGAAGAATGCAAACATACCATCTCAGTTTGTGTTTTCAATCTTGTAAAGGCTAGCTAGCTACAGCTTTCAGGCACACATTGTGAGCTCAACTTTTAACATGTTTTTAATTGTGGCCGCTGAAATTAAGCACCATCTGTGAGTTTATCTTTTCATTTGTCCTAGGCTGAAAGGAAGAAATTAATAAATTGCTTTTAACTTCTTATTTTGTGAAAGCTTGAAGAAAGAAATTAAGCGTTAATTTACTTTTAACCTGTTAATTTGTCCCAAGTTTAAAGAAAGAAATTGAGCGTTAATTTACTTTTGAATTGTTAATTTGTTCAAGGCGAGCAGAAGACAGTAAGCTTTAAGGATGATTTCAACTGGTTTAGTATGTCCAGACAAGAGTAAAAAAAAAATTAAGCGTTAAATACGATTTTCAGTGTTCATTTTATTCAGGGTCTGTAAGCATAAAGTTTTAGTTCAGATTGTGAACCTATTTACCTTAAATAGGAGAGAAGACAAACAAAATACTTCAGCTCCTTTACTTGTTCGCCACTTCTTGTTGCGGCACTGGAGTTTTGCTTGCACAAAAGTTTTACAGATCTCGCTTAGTTGTGTGCAGACTGTTGGTCCCCTGCCACTCAGGCAGATGCACTCCCACTTTAGAGGAAATATTTCTAATTAGCCGTCTGTACGTTATGCTTGTTGGGAAGAAAGTGGGTTCATTTTATCTCCACCCCGTCCCGCACCCGAACAAAAAAAAAAAAAAAAAAAAAACTCACAGACCTGGCATACTATTTAATAATCAAAAATTACCATAAACCAACCAGTTGTCTACCCAGGTAGCTTTTTCTAACGTTTTTCGACCATAGTTGGCCATTTCATTCATGCTTCTTGACCTTTCACCTGTCTATGTTACAGGGGTGTCACGTAACGCTGTCTTCGATGCTATCAACGGCGATATACTGTGTTCTATATTACACGATCTGACTGCTTTTAACCACCCCATAACATCTATAACTGGCCCTAACCCCTACCCCACAACCTCATTCTGAGTCCCACGAGAGAGCGCAGCCTACCTCCAGTGGTTTCAGGATTGTTAACATTTTCTGATGCGCCCTAAAAAACAAAAAAGCCTTGCTGCAAAAAGCAAGGATGCTCTGCTCGTCGCTCGTGAACGCTGACAGCTGAAGTAATTTCATGTCCTACTTGCAGTCCGAGAAAAGCTAGAATATACGACCGCTAACAACAACGAGTAAAATACAAAGTGTAGCTTGCCTCAAAAACGGCGCGCAATATAGAAAGCTCTTCCTGAAGATAACACAACCTGACACCCCTGTAGCATAGACTAGCGTGTGACAGGTCACCAGGCATGAATGAAAGGGCAGCCACGGTTTGTTTTGAGCGGAACATTGAAACAAGTTCACCCGGGTGCCCTGGTACCATGAAGTTCAAGTGCATCACGGTTCCCCCTATTGACCTTTAAATAAAAACTACAATAGCTGACTTGCTTGTTTTCAGTAACAAATGTGTGTGTGTGTTTGTGTGTGTGTGTGCGTGTGTATGTGTGCGTGTGTGTGTGTGCATTGTTTATGAAAAAAAACATGTTTCTTCTCTTTCGTCTTCCGCGTTTGTCCTCAAAAGACAAGTTTGCATCTTTTATTTTCGTTTACATCTAGGCTGCGATATTTCTGCCTTTCGGTCCAATTATCCGATTTCAGCGTACTCTTAATCAATCGTCTTTTACGACATGCTTGTTAATGGGCAGTGGGTGTACACCTTCATCCCACCCCACCTCTTTTAAAATAGGCCCTGGAAACTCACAAAGTTAGCATTCCAGTGGGTACGAAGCTGTGTCTATGATGCACAAAGCCGATGGGGATTATATACTAAACAAATATTTATTAAAGTTAACCTGGGCGGAAACAATAGCAAATAAGACGAACACTATCGCCTTGTGTATACAAAAAGATCAAGAGGTTAATCGTAGACTTCCGCAATGAGGTGTACAGTTTATGGCATGGCACACCTTACTTTCAGACTATAGTTCTCACGCTAAGACAGGGGCATGCCTTACTCTCACGATATAGTACTCATGCTAAGACAATGGCATATTTACTGTCAGATTTCAGTGTTTACGCTAAGACAGTGGCATACATTAATGTCACGTTGTAGCACTTATGCTAAGATAGCGTCACACCTTACTGTCACATTGTAGTACTCATGCTAAGACAGTGGCATACTTTATTGCCACGGTCTTGCGCTCATGCTAGGACCGTGTGTAACCTTACTGTTATATTGTAGGCTTCTACTAAGACAGTGTCTAATCTTACTGTCATATTGTAGTGCTCTTACTAAGTCACTCTTAGACCTTACTATCATACTGTAGTGCTCATACTAAGTCACTCTCAGACCTTACTATCATATTGTAGTGCTCATACTAAGTCACTCTCGGACCTTACTATCATACTGCAGTGCTCATACTAAGTCACTCTCGGACCTTACTATCATACTGCAGTGCTCATACTAAGACACTGTCATACCTTACTGTCATATTGTAGTGCTCATACTAAGTCACTGTCATACCTTACTGTCATATTGTAGTGCTCCTACTAAGACACTGTCATACCTTACTGTCATATTGTAGTGCTCCTACTAAGACACTGTCATACCTTACTGTCATATTGTAGTGCTCCTACTAAGACACTTTCATACCTTACTGTCATATTGTAGTGCTCCTACTAAGACACTGTCATACCTTACTGTCATATTGTAGTGCTCCTACTAAGACACTGTCATACCTTACTGTCATATTGTAGTGCTCCTACTAAGACACTTTCATACCTTACTGTCATATTGTAGTGCTTATACTAAGACAGTAGCCCAGCCTCCTGTCCCACTGTAGCGCTCGTGCAATATTTATATTTATCGTTTTCTTGTTTGGCGAGTCCTTATATTTGATGTGAATTGTGACCAACCAGTTCAAGTGACAAGAGACCACGCAATCAGCTGTGCAGTAGATTGTGTTGTGACCTGGTTATTTGACACCCAGAAAACATAAATGTGAACCTAACTTTGTCTTTCTGTGATGTAAAATTACTAAATTATAACATGCAGTTTGTCTTTTACATGCCGTTGAGTCTATCAAAGACACATTTTTAATGTTTCTTTCCGTAATAGTTCTCCGAGACCACATTTTATCATATCCCGCATTTCCTGTTAAATGTTAATCTACGGTTAATCCACTTATAACGATTCTGTAATCAAATCTTTCGGTGGTATTTGTATGTTTATTTCCTCCAAGTTTTCAATGCCTAGCTTACTTTCTGTTTAGTTACCTCCAACACCACCTAGGGAAATCAAAGAAGTTTTTGTAGAACACGGAAATCACAGAACTTGATACTCGTGAGTCATCAGGGATAGTTGGACGATTAGTACCAATGATATGTAATGCTGGACAGATAAGAAGAGCAGAAAAGATGTCTTTGAAAACTGACGAAGCGAAGTGATTGTCTACATCAGAATGAGACAATCCACATTCTGTGTTCATCTCACGAAAAGGAGAAAAGTGGAGTACGTCTTGACGGTAGGAAGGTTGTAGGTTAAAAGAGGAGTACGTCGTGACGGTAGGAAGGTTGTAGGTGAAAAGTGGAGTACGTCGTGACGGTAGGAAGGTTGTAGGTGAAAAGTGGAGTACGTCGTGACGGTAGGAAGGTTGTAGGTGAAAAGTGGAGTACGTCGTGACGGTAGGAAGGTTGTAGGTGAAAAGTGGAGTACGTCGTGACGGTAGGAAGGTTGTAGGTGAAAAGTGGAGTACGTCGTGACGGTAGGAAGGTTGTAGGTGAAAAGTGGAGTACGTCGTGACGGTAGGAAGGTTGTAGGTGAAAAGTGGAGTACGTCGTGACGGTAGGAAGGTTGTAGGTGAAAAGTGGAGTACGTCGTGACGGTAGGAAGGTTGTAGGTGAAAAGTGGAGTACGTCGTGACGGTAGGAAGGTTGTAGGTGAAAAGTGGAGTACGTCGTGACGGTAGGAAGGTTGTAGGTGAAAAGAGGCAGGAAGAGACCGAGAGAGCAGACTCAGGACTGTTCAACAGAAGGCTGGGGATAGATATGATACTAACAGTACACGACGTGTACTATGGAAAATCATTTGTATCAGAACTGACTAAAATTACTCAATATGGAAGGTGTTTGTAGACATGACAACCGACAAGACACGACATAGACTATGGAACATCATTTGTGTCAGAAATGATTGAAGGTGCACGAGATGGAAGCTTGTATGTATGACTACCAAGGTCACACGGCATAGAGTAAAAAAAAAATGTTCCTACTAGTCTGTTATGCCAACATGCCTGTGTTAACGCTAGTACTACAACATGCATGGCTAACAACTCTACCAGGCTGTCTACAGCTACCACAGAATCGAACTCACGGTTGCCCCGCCAATGCTTGCGTCTGGCCTTTTAGTGTTTCAGCCACATTCTGGTTGGAGTACAGGTTCAAAGGAGAATTATACTGCAAGTGCATTACTTTTGGACCATTCTCCGCGCCACCTGGAGTGGCTCCAGTTGGACTGAATGGCCCTGATGTGACAGGACTTTTCGCCGGAGCTGGAGTATACGGAACCGACCTGATAGGCGCTTGTTCGTTGGTGTATCCAGGGTCCATGTCCCAGGGTTTGACTCCTGTTGCCTTCAAGCTGCTGCGCCAGGCCGGAGTCCCGCCATTTTCCTGCTCTTGCGCTCGCTGCCATGGTGGTGGGGCCTGGAGATACATACAGCAATATGTAGGAATAGAACTGATATGCACCAAAAAGAGGAGAAGGGCGTAAAGCATAAGGTAAACTGCGAAAAAGATGGAGAGACAACATCAGGAAACTAGAAAGAACGATGCGTCTATGATCAAGGCGGTCAGAAGAGAAAGAAACGTGATCATTTCGCATGTGTAAGCGTTAACATGTAAAGACCACATTGTAGTGAAGATGGTATCGCGTGATATTTTCCTCATAATCACTTCGCTGTTGACTCTGTACGCTTGCGCTAGCATTGCAGTAATAGTAACTGGTAGCTTTCACATGTTACAGTTTCTGCATGAGTGCTGCAAGCATACAGTAAGAGTTTGTTAGGCTATGCTCGAGACTAAAAACCGAGTGGTGCATTTGTAATAAGTAGTAAAAGTTAGTTGTGTATCCTTTACAGGACGTTGCAAAACCAACCCCATCAACATTTAGCGTGATTTTTCGTTGTAAATTTACGTTCAGTTGTTTGCCATTGCTTTCTAAACGGTCGACTTTCAGTACTTGTCAAAATCATTGCAGCAAATAGTAATAAGTAGTAAAATACTTATTTTTTTATTTTTCGTTGGCAGTGCAAAGTGTCACTACAGCAATTTCATGCAGGGCTCGACAGTGGATGTCAGGTTTTACGTTTTTTAACGTTAACAAAAAACCTAATCTGTAAATTTACGTAAATTGAACCCCAGCACGTGTAGGTGGCCAGCCACTTTATGAAGCAAGTTTACGCTCTGCAGTTCGCCAAGGCTTGTTGTACAGTCGGTACTTGTCTCATACCATTATCTAGGTCAGCGGTTCTCAGCCTGTGGGTAGCGAACTCTTCAGGGGTCGAATGACCCTTTCACAGGTATCGCCTAAGACCATGGGAAAACATATATTCACTGAAGTTATAAAGTAGAAATGAACATTGTATGGCTGGGGGTCACCACAACATGAGGAACTGTATTAAAAGGTCGCGGTTTTAGGAAGGGTGAGAACTGTTGGTGTCGATCAACGCAAAGCCGTCTGCTGTCAAATTACTATTAAAATAAATAAACAAGGTATCATAGATTCATGAATCGTCATTCATAATTCTTTAGCCAGTGACGTAGGATTTTTTTTTTTTTTTTAGAAACATATGAAATGCCTTCAATTAAAAACTTAGAAAATGTAACAGAAATTACAATAACCATGACATTGTCTTGTAACTGTTAATATTGTTGTTAAATATGTCAAGAGTGTTAAGCACGAGACACTAGGGTGTAAATAAACAATATAACGCCGTAATGACAGTTTGAAGAAAACTGTCCCACCTTTTGACATTCCCCAAAGAGAAGCAGCGTTCTGTTAACCGTCTTTAGATCAGTGAAACCTGTATAAATGTATCGGCTTATGGAGGTCCAGTATAATGAATGATACATGTCTATCAGTCCAGCAACTGTGTAAGTGCAGTCCAAATTTTGAAACACAGCGTGACTTCTGTGACAGACTGTGGCATATCCGGTCGTAAACAGTTCGTCACAAAGTAAATCTTGACAGCCTTAACAACAATGTTGGCAGGCTTCGAGAAAATGTTATATAATTCCTATCTCATGGATAGTTAGTCAATTTAGAAGCTGCGGAGATGTGGTTTTATAGACGAATGATGAGAATACTCTAGACAGATAAAAAGAGTAAAAGGATGTCTTAAAAGAAACTGACTCAACAAGAGAACTGACTTTCCACAATAGAAGAGAGACAAGTCCACATTCTTTGGTCATGTGATGAGGAGGAGAAAACTGGAGTACATCATGATGGTAGGAGAGTTGGAGGGAGGAGAGGCAGAGGGAGACCGAGAGCCAAGATGCTGGAGAGTTTGACATTATGTAATAGAAATCATCTGTGTCAGAGCTGATTGAAACTACAGGAGACAGAAGGTTGCGGATATACATGACGACCAACGCCACATGGCATGGACTTTAAGAAGAAGAAGACAAGACAATGGCATGCTTGTTGTAATGTCCATAACACATTTCCCCTGTGGGCCCCGGGGTCCCATTTTTGGGGAAACAAGAACAGACCAAACAAATCCTACTGAACATGTCGTGAGAGTCAACAAATTGTGGGCTTCCCTCGAGGTCAGATTGCTTCTACCTGAGAGGCACGAAGCCAGTAGTCTGCACACAAAAATTAAGGCAACATTTGTAAAACGGATGTGCGTGCAACACTTAGGTTCTGGAACAAGACCAGAGTCCAGTGGTGGACGAACAATTGAGAACTTGGTGTATGGGCGATAAACGCGAAGAACGAAAAAGATCACACATGTAAGGTTTTCATTTGAAGCCTTCTAATAATCAAACAACGAAACATCCACGAGGGAAGACAATGAACATTGATACAAGTCATACCGAATGCGCGGGAGCGTATGATGATGATGTCGCAGGTTTCTCTGAGGTTGGAGGCGGAGCAAACGTGTACTGAGGCGGGGCAGACTTGATCGGAGCCTGTGAGGCGTTGAACTGAGGAGCAGGTCTCCATCCAGACTGAGGCTGCTTGCTGGTTGGGTGGGTGTAGTCAATGCCGAAAGTTCCGTAACTGCTGGGCCCTGGTTGTGGCTTGGGAACCGTTGGGGCTGATTTGTAGGCCGGGACGTTGCCTGTTGTTAGGTTAGAAATAATTATCACTGCTGAATTGACGACAACAACAATAACAACAACAATAGCAACAACAACAACAAATCAAAATCATGTGCTATGCCTGCAAACACTCAGTTATGGTTAGCCACATCACACAATCATCATAGTAAACATGAATCAGGTCTGCGTTTCTGTGCTTTGTGCTTTTCAGACAATCTAATCAATTATTTGTCTCGCTATTTTATTTAATTAATTTGTTATGAGCCTCTAAACATCTGAGTTTTTAAATAGATATGCAAATCAACATTTGAGTTTATAATTAGACATAGGAAATCAACATCCGAGTATGTATATAGAACTAGGAATTGACATGTGAGTATGAAAACTGAATATGAGTGGACAGTTCAACCTATAAATAACACATGACTCGACATGACTCGATATCTATGTCTGTAAATAGACACATGAATTGACATATGCGTCTGTAAATAGACACATAAATCGACATTAGAGCCCACAAATATACAGGAACATTTAACGAATTCGGGCCCATCTACATACTCCGAGTGACGAAGTCGGGCCAGGACACTCTGATTGAACGTTAATTCATGCATCTTTACTTTTGAGTTGCGCAAGTTTAAGTGGCAGGGGCGTCATCTTGATGCCTCGTTGTATTCTGTCGACTATCCTACCGGCGACCACTCGTGCTCTATATTACAGAATGTGAGCGCTTTAACAACCCCATAACACGTACAACTGGCCCTAACCCCAAACCCCCTAAACCATACACTAGGTCCCACGAGAAAGTGCATTCTACATCCCGTGACACCCCTCTAAACTTGAGCAACGTTGACCAGCCTGAGCAAGTATCAATGAAAGATCAGCTGGTGTGTAGAGGGGCCCGAGTTCGTTACTAGTAATAATATACATATAAATCGACACTGTGGAAAGGTGCCCCAGGCAGCAAAGCATGTTCTCCAGGACTAGACCGAATTTGATCCACTGAGGCAAACCTTTGTGCCAGAAAGAAACACAGTGGAACGTAAACTCTATGGACCGCTCAATGAGGACCGCTGAATGAACTAAGAAAAGACAGGGACATTTATAGGAGAGACACAATTACTGATATAAGCAACTTATTTCAGGCGAATGCAAGAAAAGAAGAAAAAGAAAATATCTGAGCCTATAACATGAAAAATTTGTGTCGTTAAGCCAGAACCGATCAGATACACATCAACACCGAATTCATTTAAACATTTCCACAGGTGCATCTTAGTGGGTTAGTCACGTGAGAATTAGTAATTATGTTACTAGCTAACATACCTGTCGATGAGTGAGTCACTGACTCTTATTGGCTAACATAATTGTCAATGAGTAAGCCACTCACTCTTACTGGCAGACATAACTGTTGATGAGTGAGTCAGTGACTCTTATTGGCTAATATAATTGTCAATGAGTGTGTCAGTGACTCTTATTGGATAACATAATTGTCAATGAGTGTGCCAGTGACTATTATTGGCTAACATAATTGTCATTTAGTGAGTCACTGACTCTTATTCGCTAACATAATTGTCAATGAGTGTGACTGAGTCTTATTAGCCAACATAATTGTCAATCAGTGAGTCACTGACTCTTATTGGCTAACATATTGTCAAAAAGTGTGTCCGTGACTCTTACTGGCTAACATAATTGTCAATGAGTGGTTCATTGACTCTTATTTGTAAACATATTGTCAACGAGTAAGTCAGTGACTCTTATTGGCTAACATATTTGTCACTGAGTGTGTCGGTGACTCTTATTGGCTAACATACCTGTCGACTAGTGAGTCAGTGACTCCTATGTGTTAACATAATTGTCAATGAGTGTGTCACTGACTCTTATTTGCTAACATAACTGTCGAGGAGTGAGTCAGCGACTCTTATTGGCTAACATATTTGTCAATAAGTGTGTCAGTGACTCTTATTTGCGTGCATAATTATCAATGAGTGTGTCATTAGTAAGTCAATTAGTAAATCAGTAAATCAGTTTTTCAGTGAAGCATCAGCCAACACCATCACCTCAGTTATCTTCACGCATTAGTAATCAGTTGACACTGAAACCAACAACATGAAAAAACATATCAGACACAACAACACACAAATGTACAAGCAGGTGCGTGCGAGAAGCTGCCTGTTTGCCGAGCATCCTAGTTATTCAGTGTGAGTGAGTCAGTCACCCAAACCCTCACACATTAGACACTTTACCAGTTGACATGCGCAGGCCATGCAAACAATATGCCATCACGTGATCATGATCATGTGACTATCAGCCCCATCTTGGACCTGCGTGACGATGATAGTTTACGCGTCATTGTAATCTTTCTTCGTCTATGTAGCTATGAAGGTCTTTTATTTTGTTTTAAATATCCAGAAACCATGAGTTGTGAACCCTTTGGCTCGGTACTTTTGATAACGCAACCCTTCTGCCTTGGTTCCATGACAGATACCGTAAATCTGGGAACTCTGTGGCTTTTCTGCCTACACCCAAGCGTGAACTCGGACAACAAGGAGTTTGTCACTTGGTTGCCGCGAAGCTGGTTAAAGCAACTTAGCTAGCGCACCGGACCTCTAGTTCTATACATCTATAAAGGTTTAAGTATCTACGTAGGTCTGATGTATCTTCAAAGGTAGGTTTTTCTAAGTAATGATGAATACGGGACTTTCCGTAAATATTTTGATCTGAAAATGGGACATTCCACAAATATTTTAAGCTAAAAACGGGACATCTTAAATAAGATAACCCTTCCCCTTTCCTTCACTTTTATTCGAGGTCACTGTTATGCCAGCTATCAAATGGTAGGTATGGTCCTAGCAAGGAATTCTAAGCTGCAAAAGATAACTGAAGTCGACTTATATGCCAGGGTGACCTTTTCACCACAATTATGGTATATCGTTCTATAAGTGCCCACTGCAAAAATCGTCCTAGTTAAAGATAGTCATGTAACCAGGCGATCACGTGATGCCATGCTTGCTTGATACCTGAGGTCTGAACAGGTCCCTGTTGAAAGAGCCTCCTCCTCTCCCACACAGGCGGCAAAGCCTCACCCTGATTCTGCTGCTGCAGTTGCTGCTGCTGCTCTAGGAGAAGGCCAGTGGGCGTGTACATCTGCTGAGGAGGCTGGTACGGAGGAGTGTAAGGCTGGTAGAATGGAGAGCTGGAGTGGATCTCCGGCGATCGAGGAGACAGCACCAGGTTGTCCAGACTGTTCTGTACTCTAGGTGGTCCGTTGGAGATATCGAAGACATAATGCCAGTGAAATCAGAGAGATCAGATGCATTGTGTGAATGAGAGGAGCCAGAGAGATTGAGAGAGAGAGAGAGAGAGAGAGAGAGAGAGAGAGAGAGAGAGAGAGAGAGAGAGAGATAGAGAAAGAAATTATATAAATTAGAAGAATCAAAGAGATCAGAAAAATTATATAAATGAGAAGGTCGGAGAGATCGAAGAAATAATACGAATCAGAAGAATCGAAGAGATCAGAGAAATTAAGGTGTAGAACATTTAAACCCACTAGGACATTACACAAGCGAAAAACACCCGTTGACACAAAGTGCCACCATGTGGATGAGGATCACCCGTGGAGAGGTCCCAGAAACCGCGTTAGGACATTAGACCATATTTATGGCCTGGCTATATTGCGGCCCCTGGCAAGAGCCAGGGAAGGGCTTCAAAATCACGAAAAATTGCATCCCACAAGGGGATGAGCAAGGTTAATCAGAGAAATGTTATAAATGAGAAGAAGTAAATGAGAAGAATGAGAGAAATCATGCATACATGAATTTTACACACGAGAAGAATAAAAGAAATAATAGACATTAGTAGCTAAAAACGATGATAATGATGACAGTAAAATATTACTATAATAATAAAGTAATAATAATATTAACATTATGTTCATCAACCGGCAAAGACATTTACATTCCTCAAAGATCTGGAACATTGCAGTTCGGATTACTTATGTGAAAGAGAGACCTCCATGGTACCACATTAGATCAGTAAGCGTCATTTATAGGATCCATCTCTTTCAAGTTTTTACCACTGATTTTTTTCAGCCGTCACAATGTTCTCCATTGTTCTTTTACCATCAAATGACCGAGTCACAATTAATCTATTTCTTGTGTGTGTGTGTGTGTGTGTGTGTGTGTGTGTGTGTGCGCGCGCACGCGGGTGCGTTATATATGTTTTTATGCCATGTAGGTATGTTGAACCCCTTCGTTTTACCATCAAATGACTAAGTCACATTTTATCTATTTCTTCTTCTGTGTGTGTGTGTGTGTGTAATGTGTGCGTGTTATCTATGTTGTTGTGCCGTGTCGGTATGTTCTCCCCCTTTATTTTACCATGTATATGCATCTACAGTGTGCATACATTAGAGTTAAACAACCACACGCTAAATTCTATTGGAGGCGCAGGGTATAACTTCACGTATTTCTCTTTCTCTCTCTCTTTCTCTTCCCACCCCATCTCTCTCTCTCTCTCTCTCTCTCTCTCTCTCTCTCTCTCCCCCTCTCTCTAGCACACACACACAGACATACAAACACACACACACTAGTCACGTGTAGTTAATATAACATTAGTTGCGTATCCTTTACAGGACGTTGCAGAATCAACTTCAGCATTAATTGGTTGTTGTGATTTTTCTCAGCAAATGTTACGTTCAGTAGTATGAGAAAAAATAGGTGGCATAAATAACAGGGAATGGAGAATAACAGGGGATGGAGATAAACAGGGTATGGAGAATAACAGGGGATGGAGAATAACAGGGGATGGAGAATAACAGGGGATGGAGAATAACAGGGGATGGAGATAAACAGGGGATGGAGAATAACAGGGGATGGAGATAAACAGGGGATGGAGATAAACAGGGGATGGAGAATAACAGGGGATGGAGATAAACAGGGGATGGAGATAAACAAGGGATGGAGAATAACAGGGGATGGAGATAAACAGGGGATGGAGAATAACAGGGGATGGAGAATAACAGGGGATGGAGATAAACAGGGGATGGAGATAAACAGGGGATGGAGATAAACAGGGGATGGAGAATAACAGATAAGCAAGTTGAAGAAGAACAAGACAGATCCCAGAACACGCTGAGTTTGTAGTAGGTAGTCGAGGAAAAAGAAAGAGGAGGGGGGGGGGGCGGGGTGTAAACGGCAGAAGGAAAAGAAGACAGGAAATACAGAATGGAGGTGGGGGAGGGGGGGGGGGGGTTAAAAAGGGGGAAAAACCCAGAAAGATTAAAACAAAAGTAAAGGAACATTTTCACAAAATTGATCACGGGGCATCCCCGTGTGGGTTTTGGGGCTCCAGTGAGGGAAAAACAAGAAAAAACCTACTGCCCACCGTACAAGCATGTCGTAAGATTATACTAATGGGGAGCTTCCTTCGAAATCATGGTGCATCTGTCTGAGAGGCAAGGAACTAACAGTCCTCATACAAATATGTTTCTTCTGTAAAGCGGATGTGCACACAACACTCAGATTTTGGAACAAGACTAAATCCAGAGGTGAGCAACCAGAAATTTCCGCTGGAGTTTACAGCCGGTAAGCACGATTAAGAATATCAGCAGGTATATGGTGCCAGGGTCAATTTGTTTTCAATAGACCAATTTGTTCTCGATGGGTCAAGTAGAAGACATCAAACCGACCACTTTTACTTCCCATGACTTTACTCAGTATCCATCTTACGCTAGGTCGACTTGGAAGCTGTAGTTAATAAAAAAAATCTGACTCGTTGTGGGTTCGATCTCAGAACTTCCGATCCGCAGGGTGAGCGTCTAACCACAACGCCATTATGGCTCCCTAACAAGGAATAAGAAGTATAATAATACTAAAGTAAAGTAAAGGACCCTTTTCCAAGCCTTTAGACGTATAGAACAAATAGGGCTAGACCTATATTTTTATAGACCAATAGGCACAAGATGGGTGATGTGGTCAGCATCAAACCGGCCGCCTTTACTTCCCGGGACTGCACCCTGTACCCACTCAAGGCTATGTCGACCTGGGAGCCAAGGTCATTTATGAAAACGTCCGGCTCCTGCAGGGAGCGAACCCACGACGTTTCGATCCGCGGCGAGCGTCTAGCCGCTCGGCCACTGCGACATCCAAAATAATACTAATAACAATAATAATTAATAATGATATTATTGTAAGGGAAGTGGGCGATGTCTCGTTACCTCAGCGGAATAAACAACACAAATTATTGTAAGGGAAGTGGGCGATGTCTCGTTACTTCAGCGGAATAAACAACACAAAACCTTACCTGCTGAGCATGCCATGTTTATCGTGTCGGGGTTCAAACCTATCCAGGTTCCGCTGACCGTAGGCTACTCCAAGGTCTCGCCCACCGCCACCAAATTTATTCAGGGTAACCTTCGAGGGCTGGAACCCATGCCCTCCAGCGTGAGACGAGGCTGGTGGGTGCTGAAATAGCATCAGCATGGCCATTCAAATCAGAATCATTTTGGAAATCACAGTTGTTGTATGGAGCATGGATATCTACAGTATCACAGATTATAAGGCGACTTTTGCATGTACGACAAATATACAAAACAAACATCAACTACAGAAGACACACATCGGCTGTAACAAACGTATCAAATAGAGAGCATGTACGAACAGGAATGGTAGAAAGCAAACAAACTATATAAAACACTCCAACTCAACAGTTCATAACATGCATCACCTATACAAACTACGTGTAATCTATAAATGAAAACAAAGCGGATGATATAACATTGACACTTGAATCAAACACAATTGAACACACACACATACTAATCCAGATTAACCGAGAAGACTTGTTGACGGAAGATTGACCGAGAACACTTGGTTGACGGAAGATTGACCGAGAGAATTAGTTTGACGGAAGATTGACCGAGAAGACTGGGTTGACGGAAGATTAACCGAGAAGACTTGGTTGACGGAAGATTGACCGAGAACACTTGGTTGACGGAAGATTGACCGAGAAGACATGGTTGACGGAAGATTGACCGAGAGAATTTGTTTGACGGAAGATTGACCGAGAAGACTGGGTTGACGGAAGATTGACCGAGAAGACTTGGTTGACGGAAGATTGACCGAGAACACTTGGTTGACGGAAGATTGACCGAGAGAATTTGTTTGACGGAAGATTGACCGAGATAATTTGTTTGACGGAAGATTGACCGAGAGAATTTGTTTGACGGAAGATTGACCGAGAGAATTTGTTTGACGGAAGATTGACCGAGAAGACTTGGTTGACGGAAGATTGACCGAGAAGACATGGTTGACGGAAGATTGACCGAGAGAATTTGTTTGACGGAAGATTGACCGAGAAGACTTGGTTGACGGAAGATTGACCGAGAAGACTGGGTTGGCGGAAGATTGACCGAGAAGACTGGGTTGGCGGAAGATTGACCGAGAGAATTTGTTTGACGGAAGATTGACCGAGAAGACTTGGTTGACGGAAGATTGACCGAGAAGACTGGGTTGACGGAAGATTGACACAGAAGACTGGGTTGACGGAAGATTGACAGAGAAGACTTGGTTGACGGAAGATTGACCGAGAAGACTTGGTTGGCGGAAGATTGACCGAGAGAATTTGTTTGACGGAAGATTGACCGAGAGAATTTGTTTGACGGAAGATTGACCGAGAAGACTGGGTTGACGGAAGATTGACCGAGAAGACTTGGTTGACCGAAGATTGACCGAGAAGACTGGGTTGACGGAAGATTGACCGAGAACTTATGACTACAATCACATTTAACAACCTGACGCAGTTTAATATCTAACTGCACATCGCAGTAAACTTTTTTTTTGTTTTTTTTTTGTTTGTTTTAGTTTGAAATGTAATGCAGTTAGAATGGAACTTCTCCCTGACTTTTTCTCCTACCTACACAAATCAATCAGTACCTCCTTTTATTGGTTGGATAATCTCGCCATTAAGCAGCCGCAACTACTATCAAAACAGCAGTTACACACGACAAGATCTAGCGTGAAATCAACAAAAAGTCGCACTAGGAGGGAAATGGATTGATGCCATTAAAGACCTTCTATGTCGACACAAATTGACAAAAGCCGTTGCTGTCCTTTAAGCAAACTCTTCCACCCCATGACGCAAGTGGAAGTTGACGACGAAGATGGTATGTACCTGTTTTACGATCTGCAACACTATCTACAGATTTTAAACTATGTGTTCCCTCTAAGCGACTACCATCATCATCATCATCATCATCATCATCATCATCAGGTGCCTTGCTGACTGGCGTGGGCGATCATGCCTCTCCATAATCTGCGATCTCCTGCAGCATGTATCAGTTCGTGTGCCGACACACCTCCATGCCATGCAACAAGACTGTCAAGCATCTTCTCTCGTTGTCTTCCTCTATCTCTCCTTCCACATATCTTTCCAGTGGCCACAACATGTTCTATTTTCCCTCTTCTCATAACATGGCCGAAAAATGATGACTGTCTCCTTCTGATGTCTATAAGTTGTCTTCGGTCTCCCACCTCTTTCAAAACCTCTTGGTTGCTCTTTTTGGCTGTCCAAGGTATTCTAAGCATTCTTCTGTAAAACCACATCTCTGAGGCCTCCAGAAATTGTTTGGCCTGCCTGCCTATTGTCCAGGATTCACAGCCATATGTTAAAACTGGATGTATGTAGCAAGCAAGAATTCTTTTTTTAACTCTCAATGACAAGGATATATTGTTTTTCATTTGATAAAATGCAGTTTTTGCCTGTCCTATTCTATGTCTTATCTCAGTTATGCATCTTCCATCTGATGTTATCCATGTGCCTAGATACTTAAATTTCTGTACTTGTCCTAAAATAACACCATCAACTGTTATTACCTACTTAGGAATAATTCGTTTCTTTGATACCACCATTACTCCTGTCTTCCCATTATTCAAACTGAGGCACATTCTTCCACTTTCTAACACCACAATGTCTAACATTTCCTGTAGTTCTTTCTTACTTGTTGCTATCAAGACTGTGTCATCAGCATAACGTAAATTGTTTATATTGTGCCCACCAACCACAATTCCGGGCATACCAATTAAAGCTCTCATTATATATTCACTGTATATTGAAAACAAATCAGGTGACAGTACACATCCTTGTCGTACGCCCCTACACACTATACATTAACGAATTAGACTTTTCCCAAAAAGACGATAGTTGACTACATGTCTACGTAATCTATAACGATGATTTTGTAGTTTCGTTGCACTTGTTTCTCTCCACGGACCAATTATTATGCAATTTTTATAGTGAATGGGAGGAGAATATCTGTAGTGGATGTAAGCAGGGTGTTTCTAGTTGATGGAAGTTGAACGTTTGTAGTAAGGGGAATGTCTGTAGTGGATGTAATGAGGGTGTTTCTAGTTGATGGACGTTGAACGTTTGTAGTGAGTGTGAGGGTAATGTCTCTAGTGGATGTAAGGAGGGTGTTTCTAGTTGATGGACGTTGAACGTTTGTAGTGAGTGTGAGGGTAATGTCTCTAGTGGATGTAAGGAGGGTGTTTCTAGTTGATGGATGTTGAACGTTTGTAGTGAGTGTGAGGGTAATGTTTGTAGTGGATGTAAGGAGGCGGTTTCTAGTTGATGCTTGGTGAACGTTTTTAGTGAGTGTGAGGGTAATGTTTGTAGTGGATGTAAGGAGGCTGTTTCTAGTTGATGTTTAGTGAACGTTTGTAGTGAGTGTGAGGGTAATGCTGTAGTGGATGTAATGAGGCTGTATTTAGTTGATGTTTGGTGAACGTTTGTATTGAATGTGAGGGTAATGTTTGTAGTGATTGTAAGTAGGGTGTTTCTAGTTGATGTTTGGTGAACGTTTCTAGTGAGTGTGAGGGTAATGTCTGTAGTGGATGTAAGGAGAGTGTTTCTAGTTGATGGATGTTGAACGTTTGTAGTGAGTGTGAGGGTAATGTCTGTAGTGGATGTAAGGAGGGTGTTTCTAGTTGATGTTTGGTGAACTTTTGTAGTGATTGTGAGGGTAATGTCTGCAGTAGATGTAAGGAGGGTGTTTCTAGTTGATGGAAGTTGAATGTTTGTAGTGAGTGTGAGGGTAATGTTGTAGTGGATGTAAGGAGGGTGTTTCTAGTTGATGTTTGGTGAACGTTTGTAGTGAATGTGAGGGGAATGTTTGTAGTGGATGTAAGGAGGTATTAAAATTAAGAGCTATTTAGTGGACACTGTTGTTTGGGTTTATATCCTATGATAGCTGAATGTTGTGCTGAGAATTGTGTGTGTGCTGTGATGTCTCTAAACGTAACACTCATTCGGATAGAATCAAACAGCTGGCTATAAAGCTAGGAATCACACGGATAGGGTCACACAACACACACAGCAAGTCACACAAACAAAATCACACAGCAGGTAACACACAGAGGATCACACGGATGATCATCTAGAAAAAGTACACCTAAATGTCACAGAGACATAATCAAACAAAATGTCACAACTACGGAAATGGTTTAACATAATCTATAGTACAAGCAACTATTACATCGGTAATTAAAACAAAATTGTTATTAGTAATTGATAATCACAATTTAAAAAAAATGAGTAATGAAAGTAACAGCAATATTTAAAACAATAAATAGTGACCAGATGATTGGCTCAAGTTTTCCAGATGAAAACAAAGCTCTCTAGAAGCACGACTCGACTTATATGACAGGTATAAAATAAGTTGCGTTCAGGCCTAAAAAATTATGAGCTAAAATTCATGACGTCCACGTATCCACAAAGCTGACTTTGTACACTTATCAACAAGGCTGACTTGTACACTTATCCACAAGGTTGACTTGTACATTTATCCACAAGATTGACTTGTATACTTATCCACAAGGCTGACTTGTACACTTATCCACAAGGCTGACTTGTACACTTATCCACAAGGTTGACTTGTACATTTATCCACAAGGCTGACTTGTACACTTATCCACAAGACTGACTGTCACTTATCCACAAGGCTGACTTGTACACTTATCCACAAGGCTGACTTGAACATTTATCCACAAGGCTGACTTGTTCACTTATCCACAAGGTTGACTTGTACACTTATCCACAAGGCTGACTTATACACTTATCCACAAGGATGACTTGTACACTTATCCACAAGACTGACTGTCACTTATCCACAAGGCTGACTTGTACACTTATCCACAAGACTGACTGTCACTTATCCACAAGGTTGACTTGTACACTTATCCACAAGGCTGACTTGTACACTTATCCACAAGGCTGACTTGTACACTTATCCACAAGGTTGACTTGTACACTTATCCACAAGGTTGACTTGTACACCTATCCACAAGGCTGACTTGTACACTTATCCACAAGGCTGACTTGTACACTTATCCACAAGACTGACTTGTACACTTATCCACAAGGTTAACTTGTACACTTATCCACAAGGCTGACTTGTACACTTATCCACAAGGCTGACATGTACACTTATCCACACGGCTGACTTGTACACTTATCCACAAGGTTGACTTGTACACCTATCCACAAGGCTGACTTGTACACTTATCCACAAGGCTGACTTGTACACTTATCCACAAGGCTGACTTGTACACTTATCCACAAGGTTAACTTGTACACTTATCCACAAGGCTGACATGTACACTTATCCACAAGGCTGACATGTATACTTATCCACACGGCTGACTTGTACACTTATCCACAAGGCTGACTTGTACACTTATTCACAAGGTTGACTTGTACACTTATCCACAAGGCTGACATGTACACTTATCCACAAGGCTGACTTGTACACTTATCCACAAGGCTGACTTGTACACTTATCCACAAAGTTGACTTGTACACAGCAATTTACTTTAACTGTGACTGACTTTGATGAGGCCAAACGCACGCGTGTCGTCTATCCCCTCCGAGCAGCTGCCTGAAGGTTTCACACCATGAGATTATTACAGTTCAAATCCGGATCACAGACCAGGCGGATATTCCCAAATACCACGTTCAACGCCAAAAGTAGTTAAAATTAGGACACCAGTAACAGCTAGTCTCCGCATTTGAAAGGGTGACGGGTGAGGGGGGGGGGGGGGGGGGTGTTATCTAGGGGAGCGTGAGGAGGTTTGAAGGTGGTAGTGGTGGGTTTTTAGGGGAGCGTGAGGAGGTTTTAAGGTGGTAGTGATGGGTTTTTAGGGGAGAGTGCGGAGGTTTGAAGGTGGTAGTGGTGGGTTTTTAGGGGAGCGTGAGGAGGTTTCAAGGTGGTAGTGGTGGGTTTTTAGGGGAGCGTGAGGAGGTTTCAAGGTGGTAGTGGTGGGTTTTTAGGGGAGCGTGAGGAGGTTTGAAGGTGGTAGTGGTGGGTTTTTAGGGGAGCGTGAGGAGGTTTCAAGGTGGTAGTGGTGGGTTTTTAGGGGAGCGTGAGGAGGTTTGAAGGTGGTAGTGGTGGGTTTTTAGGGGAGCGTGCGGAGGTTTCAAGGTGGTAGTGGTGGTTTTTTTTTAGGGGAGCGTGCGGAGGTTTGAAGGTGGTAGTGGTGGGTTTTTAGGGGAGCGTGAGGAGGTTTGAAGGCGGTAGTGGTGGGTTTTTAGGGGAGCGTGAGGAGGTTTGAAGGCGGTAGTGGTGGGTTTTTAGGGGAGCGTGAGGAGGTTTGAAGGTGGTAGTGGTGGGTTTTTAGGGGAGCGTGAGGAGGTTTGAAGGTGGTAGTGGTGGGTTTTTAGGGGAGCGTGAGGAGGTTTCAAGGTGGTAGTGGTGGGTTTTTAGGGGAGCGTGAGGAGGTTTGAAGGTGGTAGTGGTGGGTTTTTAGGGGAGCGTGAGGAGGTTTGTAGGTGGTAATGGTGGGTTTTTAGGGGAGCGTGCGGAGGTTTTAAGGTGGTAGTGGTGGGTTTTTAGGGGAGCGTGAGGAGGTTTGAAGGTGGTAGTGGTGGGTTTTTTAGGGGAGCGTGAGGAGGTTTGAAGGTGGTAGTGGTGGCTTTTTAGGGGAGCGTGAGGAGGTTTGAAGATGGTAGTGGTGGGTTTTTAGGGGAGCGTGAGGAGGTTTGAAGGTGGTAGTGGTGGGTTTTTAGGGGAGCGTGCAGAGGTTTCAAGGTGGTAGTGGTGGGTTTTTAGGGGAGCGTGAGGAGGTTTTAAGGTGGTAGTGGTGGGTTTTTAGGGGAGCGTGAGGAGGTTTTAAGGTGGTAGTGGTGGGTTTTTAGGGGAGCGTGCAGAGGTTTTGCAGTGGTGGGTGGGGGGGGGGGGGAGGGTCATGACATTTTTAAATTAGGTGTATTTGTATTTGTAGTAATCTGTTACCTTTGTTTTCTCCTAGTTAAGTTGTAAATGAAATAATCACATATTTATATTTTTTTTAAACTTATTTTAACAAATATATTTAAAAAGCCAAGGACACTTGTTCAGTTTGCACAAGCAGAGTCCATATCTACAGTTACAAGTTTCATGAATACGATAACACTAGCATTGAATTATAGATAAGAATACGTTCTGACCAGAATGTAACCCTGTTTCCATGGTTGCCGAAATTTATCCTCCTGTGTGTGTGGGGGTGGGGGGGGGGGGGGGCTATGATATACTCAAGGATGAATGGTCTTGTAATATATATATATACTCGGCAATGCGGGGGTCTTGCGATATACTCAAGGATGCAGGAGTCTTGCCATATACTCAAGGATGCAGGAGTCTTGCCATATACTCAAGGATGCAGGAGTCTTGCCATATACTCAAGGATGCAGGAGTCTTGCCATATACTCAAGGATGCAGGAGTCTTGCCATATACTCAAGGATGCAGGAGTCTTGCCATATACTCAAGGATGCAGGAGTCTTGCCATATACTCAAGGATGCAGGAGTCTTGCCATATACTCAAGGATGCAGGAGTCTTGCCATATACTCAAGGATGCAGGAGTCTTGCCATATACTCAAGGATGCAGGAGTCTTGCCATATACTCAAGGATGCAGGAGTCTTGCCATATACTCAAGGATGCAGGAGTCTTGCCATATACTCAAGGATGCAGGAGTCTTGCCATATACTCAAGGATGCAGGAGTCTTGCCATATACTCAAGGATGCAGGAGTCTTGCCATATACTCAAGGATGCAGGAGTCTTGCCATATACTCAAGGATGCAGGAGTCTTGCCATATACTCAAGGATGCAGGAGTCTTGCCATATACTCAAGGATGCAGGAGTCTTGCCATATACTCAAGGATGCAGGAGTCTTGCCATATACTCAAGGATGCCGAGTTTTTGTCATATACTCAAGGAAGGAGTAGGGAGGGGTCTTGTCATTTACTTAAGGATGCGGGGTTCTTACAATATACTCAAGGATGCTGGGGTCTTGTCATATACTCAAGGATGCGGGGGTCTTGTCATATACTCAAGGATGCGGGGTCTTGTCATTTACTCAAGGATGCGGGGGTCTTGTCATATACTCAAGGATGCGGGGTCTTGTCATATACTCAAGGATGCGGGGGTCTTGTCATATACTCAAGGATGCGGGGTCTTGTCATATACTCAAGGATGCAGGAGTCTTGCCATATGCTCAAGGATGCGGGGGTCTTGCATATACTCAAGGAGAGGGAGGACTTGAAAAATGTCGAAGGCCACTGAGCTAGACCAAGGCGATGGAAAAATGTAGACCTGTGCGGGTAAGGAGTTGGCAAGAGTAAATGTTGCAGTTTGTCCCTTCCAGGATTAGACTTTCCACATTTAACACCTAAAGTATGAGAATTCAACATGTGCTAGTGCTTGTGAGCCCTGTTTAACGATAATGTTATATTTGTCTGTATTATTTTACTCTAAAAACGAAACACTTACAATGTACAGTTTAAAAAAAAAAAAGTAATTAGTTAACTACCGTCAGTCGATGGCCTTTTCCGGATCGAGGCAGAGTGGCCGATCCAAAGGCAGATCCAAACTCTCGTCCGCCTCCATCGAGATTCCGGAGGTGACCCACTTTGGGGATGGGCCCTGTGGCCAGGTGATCCTCCGGGGTCTCATCTGTCTCGTGGAGGGTGTGGCCCTGGGTGCGCCCGCTCGCGCCATAGTTTGTCTGCAGACGTCATCATGTGTGTGATATTGCTGGTGATATCTCTAAATATGTGATTTTTAATTGCAACTCTAAATATGTGATGTTTGATTGCATCTCTAAATATGTGATCTTTCATTGGATCTCCTAATATGTGATGTTTCATTGTATCCCGAAATATGTGATGTTTCATTGTGTTTCTAAATATGTGATGTTTCATTAGATCTCCTAATATGTGATGTTTGATTGTATCTCCAAATATGTGATGTTTGATTGCGTCTCTAAACATGTGATGTTTGATTGCATCTGTAAATATGTGATCTTTTATTGGATCTCTTAATATGTGAAGTTTGATTGTATCCCGAAATATGTGATGTTTGATTGCATCTCTTTTTATGTGATGTTTGATGTTTGATTGCATCTCTAAATATGTGATGTATGTTTGCATCTCTAAATATGTGATGTTTGATTGCATCTCTAAATATGTTGTGTTTAATTTAATCTCTAAATATGTGATGTTGGATTGCATCTCTAAATATGTGATGTATGATTTCATCTGTGAATATGTGATGTTTGATTTCATCTCTAAATATGTGTTCTTTCCTTGCATCTCTTAATATGTGATGTTTGATTGCATCTCTAAACATGCGATGTTTGATCGAATCTCTAATTTACTTCTGTAAATTAGGGGGTTAAAAATTACATCTCGAAATAACTGATATTATCATCTAAATCTCTCAGTAAAGGATATTGTTAACTATATATGTAAAAATGATATTATTAATTACATTTCTAAGTAAACGGACATTATTAATTATATCTCTAAAATACTGATATTATCAACTTAGTTTCTAAAAAAGTTATATTATTATTTTTATCTTGAAATATGGGAGACTATAAATAATATACCTAAATAAGTGATAACATTAACTATATCTACAAGTAAGTGATATTATAATTATGCCTTTGAAAAAGTTATATTATTAATGATATCGATAAATAAGTGATATTATTTATGACTTCATTAAAAAATGATATTATTAACTGCATATCTAAATAAACCAATATATTATATTGGTGTCTGAGGCATTGGCGTTGCGTAACGCACTTCGTAATTCCGTGGTACCAGCATCGATTCCAGCTGCATACAGTTTGGCAACAGAGCACGTTGCACTAATAAAATATAACATATAATAACATCATGCGTATTAAAATAGCACGTTTAGTTAGACAATGAACACGGTAAGTATATGCATATACTATTGTTAACGAGCACAGCACAGCGTGCGACAGCACTCACACCAGGATCTGTCTATGTCAGATCGAGAAGCCTTAGTCTGGAAGATAAAGGAAGAGACCCACTGCCCCTAACAAGCATGTCGTAGAAGGCAAACAATTAGGGGTTTGTAAAAACTAAATTATTAGAAGAAAAAATGTGGCATTTATTGCAGCTTAGCTGTAAATCACAATAATAGGTGTCATTCGCCATTTCAAGAGGGAGAAAAAGTAATAGTAGTTGTAGCAATAGTTAAAGTAACAGTGGTAGTAGTGGTAGAAGAGATAGTTGTTGTTGCAAAAGCAGTAGCAGTAGTAGTAGTGACTGTTGTTGTTGTTATTGTTGTGGTGGCTGTACCTATTGATGTACATACAAGTAGCAACAGTAGTAGTGGTTGTAGTTGTTGTTGTAGAAATAGTAGCTGTAATGGTAGCGTTAGTCTTTGTAGTAATGTTGCTGTTTTTGTTGTTGTTGTAATAGTGGCAGTGGTGGTATCGTTGGTCTTAGTAGTGATTGTTACTGTTTTTGCTGTTGTTGTAATAGTGGCAGTGGTGGTATCGTTGGTCTTAGTAGTGATTGTTACTGTTTTTGCTGTTGTTGTAATAGTGGCAGTGGTGGTATCGTTGGTCTTAGTAGTGATTGTTACTGTTTTTGCTGTTGTTGTAAGAGTGGCAGTGGTGGTATCGTTGGTCTTAGTAGTGATTGTTACTGTTTTTGCTGTTGTTGTAATAGTGGCAGTGGTGGTATCCTTGGTCTTAGTAGTGATTGTTACTGTTTTTGCTGTTGTTGTAAGAGTGGCAGTGGTGGTATCGTTGGTCTTAGTAGTGATTGTTACTGTTTTTGCTGTTGTAAGAGTGGCAGTGGTGGTATCTGTGGAAAAAGAGGCAGAGAAAGACAACGCGAGAATATTCTTCATAGCCCATTTATAAGGCAGGGAGAGTGTCAGCTCCCGAACTGTTAAATGCGGTTGAAGATCTCAGATTATGGAGAGGTATAAACGCCGACGCCAATCGACAAGAAACATCATGCTGACGATATCAGTCCAAACATGCTTGTTCAAAGGTATTACGTGCAACGACAATAGCACTGGTTCATTAACATGGTTCATGCAAGTAACTACAAGGGGAAACTAAGATAGTAAATCGTTCACTCAGTCCAAATATAACGGTGTCAAAAGGCAAGAGAATGAAGAAAAGCACTATAGGTCATTAGGAGTCGCCGTGGCTCAGCAGCTAGACGCTCGGGTGCCGATCGAAAGGTCTTGGGTTCGCTCCTTGGCGAAGACGGAATTTTTTTTCCAAAAATGACCTCGACTCCCATGTCGACCCAGCCTTGAATGGGTACTGGGTGGAGTCCCGGGAAGTAAAGGCGACCGGTATGATGCTGACCACATCACCCATCTTGTGCCGATTGGTCTATAAAAATACAGGTCTAACCCTATATGCCCTATAGGCTCAAAGGCGTGGAAAGGGGACTTTACAAGTCATTACTTAGGTATAATGACGTTAGGTGGCTAATTAAAATGTATTTTCCTTCATTAATTCTACATATCTATGTTAGGTAAATTATACAGATTGTATTATATTCCATTATTTCTTAAAGTCCATATGAGGTAAAATATATAGTGTGTATTTTGTTCCAGTTTTTTCTACAAGTTGGATTACGTTTATGTAAAATAGACACAGTCGTATGTATTGTGTTCCAGTACTTCTATAAATTACTTATCTTTGCAGGATATGTCATAACTCTTCAAATATAAGGTGATCAAGAATTATAACTATAATATCTCCAACTGAAAACTGGACATTTCACTAATGTGTTTAAGTGGAAACGGGACATCCCAATAATGTGTTCAAGTGAAAACGGGACATCCCAATAATGTGTTAAAGTGAAAACGGGACATCCCAATAATGTGTTAAAGTGAAAACGGGACATCCCAAAAATGTGTTAAAGTGAAAACGGGACATCCCAATAAATTGTTAAACTGAAAACGGGACATCCTACTAATGTGTTAAAGACGGCCCAAGCATGTAACTTTTTTAACACCTCCCCCATTTGTTTTGTTGCTAAGTCATCGGGGTGAAAGGGTTAATTACTCGCTCGATAATGGGATCACCAAGGACGCCAAGTAATAAATTAAAATATATGCTCTTTCACTGTAATAAAAGAAAAAAAGCCCGCTACAAAGGCATTAAAAGTATTTAAAACGATGAAATCTAAAAAGGTCTACACATATAAGTGTATGTTTTATTCTCTTGCTAATTCCTAGCATTTTTTTTTAAACGGGACAATGTTTAGGTTTGTTTAGGGGTAAAAAATTCGGAGGGTATACAGAAGGGATAGCTGAGATACACTTAAAAAAAGCCTTGATTGTCCCGATAAAAACATGACGTTTGGTTACCCTATCTAGAACAGCCTACTTTAGATTTCTATATCAAGTCTTAAAGTTTAGTTGCGAATCCTTTACAGGACGTTGCAGAACCAACCCCAACAGCCCCTGGTTGTTGTGTGGTTTCTCTAGACCACTTTACGTCCAGTAGCTTGCCATTGCTTACTGGACGATCGGCCCCCGGATACCACTGTCGAAACCAACGCAAGTCGCATGGCCCGCAGCTGGGATCGAACCCGGCACCCTGGCATTACGAAGCGTTCGCATCGACTTAGCAACAGAGCCGATAGTCCTAGCTGCACTTCCTCAAGATGAGGCTGTTTGCGAATTTATTTCATTCATGATACGTTTTTTTTTTTTTTTTTTTTTTAGCTTTTTTACAAAAGTAATTTATGTGTATTTTTTGAGTAAAGTGTGAATAATTATTGTTATAAATTGTTATGTCTATTAGGACGGAAAGCGAACAAGTGCAACGAAACGTATGTTTTAATAAATACAGGCTTTCTCTAGACTACATAATGTATACAAAATACAAAATGTAGAAATCATGGCTATATGAACATTTACATACAAGAATAAAAACATAGACACGTCAGCAATTACAGTTTGTTTATGACAACAATGAGGAATTAGAACGTGGTGCTGAGCAATCTTCACCTTGGTTCACGTGTTTCAGTGTTTGATTGTCAGGTTTGGATTCTTCATTCAACTATCTTACACGCAGGGCGTGTTGTCCATAATTAAACATTGCCTCTTTTTTGACCATTTTGACCGTTAGTAACGTCCGAAGTGGGGGAGGTGAGTTGTCTTATAAGCTGATAATTGCCAGGGAGGTAGGTTGTCTTATAAGCTGATAATTGCCAGGGAGATAGGTTGTCTTATAAGCTGATAATTGCCAGGGAGGTAGGTTGTCTTATAAGCTGATAATTGCCAGGGAGATAGGTTGTCTTATAAGCTGATAATTGCCAGGGAGGTAGGTTGTCTTATAAGCTGATAATTGCCAGGGAGGTAGGTTGTCTTATAAGCTGATAATTGCCAGGGAGGTAGGTTGTCTTATAAGCTGATAATTGCCAGGGAGGTAGGTTGTCTTATAAGCTGATAATTGCCAGGGAGGTAGGTTGTCTTATAAGCTGATAATTGCCAGGGAGATAGGTTGTCTTATAAGCTGATAATTGCCAGGGAGGTAGGTTGTCTTATAAGCTGATAATTGCCAGGGAGATAGGTTGTCTTATAAGCTGATAATTGCCAGGGAGGTAGGTTGTCTTATAAGCTGATAATTGCCAGGGAGATAGGTTGTCTTATAAGCTGATAATTGCCAGGGAGGTAGGTTGTCTTATAAGCTGATAATTGCCAGGGAGATAGGTTGTCTTATAAGCTGATAATTGCCAGGGAGGTAGGTTGGTTATTGTCTAGAAAACCATCACAGTCTGGAGAGAGTGATACAGCGAGGAGGGACGAGGGGATCTGGCCAATACCGACACTCAAAGGAAAGGCAAGACGGACGTACTGCTGGTACCACTGGTATTGGAACACTGCGCTAGCTGCTGAAGATGGGGACAGACGCTTATGTGAATGCCTTGTGTGCTGTTATGTCGGTTCTTGAATCAAGTCAACAAAACATATCTATCGCCGTTTTAAGGACGAATGCTCCCTGTCAGGGATCAGGGGTTCGATTCGGCGAGGATGGGAGAGGGAGGATATCAGAGACTTGATGTTAACAATGACACAATGTGCTTACCGCCGCTTTAAAGGCGAACGAGGAAGACGGAGAAGAAGAAGAAACTGGAGCCGGTGCAGGTGTCGGAGGAGGAGAACAAAAGAAGGACGAGCAGAAGGACTTGGCAGATTGCAGAAGGAGAAGACGAAATCTAGAGAACTTTTAGTCTTAGCTCGTTACGCCCGATTTATTGATGTTAAAATTGGGAGTTATTCAAAATAATAATGGAAATGTATTCCTAAGTTATATATTGACATTCAAAGACAACAGATCACAGATGAAATACGTGAACCAACTTTTGCATAGAGTAATGTTTGTTCCGTTGCTAGCAAGTTACTGCGGACAGTGACGATATTTTTTACATCGACTGGTTTAGTAGACAGAAATAAGCAAGAAGCTGTTTAATACCGAAGATGCCCGCCGGGGGAAAGTGGCATAGGCGGTTCCAAAGTCTTGTCCACCGCCTCCGAGTTTTGCCAGGGTTAAAACCTTCTTTGGTATGAAGTGTTGCGCCGCCCATGAAGGAACCGGGCTGGTAGGCGTCGAGGTTTTGGGCTGTTGGTTTGAAAATGAGGGCTGCTGTTCGAAATGGGCTTCACGTGCGGGCTGCACGTGGATTGGGTGTCTCACAGGTTTTGTGGTGGGCTGCTGGAAGCCACCATCAGATCGAGGCTGAGGGCTTAGGTTTAAAACTTGTATTGGGATCTGCCGGAAGGACGAGGAGGGCGGGGATGGACTCTGGAATATAAACAGGCAAGGGGCAGTCAGAAAGCAACAGTGGAAGTTGAAAGAACAAGTCGACAAGCGTGTCGTTTTTAGCTTTGATATTGTCTCAAAGAACCTGTGTTGCTATATGCATCTTCCCCACGACACCAGCCTCACGGGCCAGTAAAAATTGCTCTGCGTGTCAGTTTCGCTCACAGACCATAGTTTGTCCACCCCTGGTCTAAAGAAAACAAAAAAGCTTCCAATTGAGATTTGACTTTGTAATTCATAAGGAATTTCAAGGAGTAAAGGTGTAATTAAAACATGACAGATTAACCCAGGAAGCATGTAAATATCATGTGAGATACATGTAAACATGAACAGAAGTGACAGCACACTAACAAAGGATTAAATAGAGATAATAACAGAGTTTTAAACTGACGAGTTGAGCACGAGCATACAACAGAAAACAACGTAATTTAAAAAAAACAAAAATGATTAGTATTAGTGAAGATTCATGGCAGAAACACATTAACGATTAAAAGAAGACAACTTAACAGACAAGAGGATTGAGGAAAACATTCGAATGAAGATGAGTAAAAAAGGATGTTAGAACAAGAGAGAAATGAAACATAGATGAGACATGACCATGTGCTTTCAGCATATAATACTACGTAAACAGAATATAAAATGCACATATACAATAGTACTCCTATACTACAACGTATATACTACAACTTATCTAATACAACATATACAATCTACCATTCAAAGTCAACAGGTACAGGACAACAATACAGTATATACAGTATAACTTCTTCTTAAAGTCATGCCGTGTGGCACTTAGTCATGTCAATCCACAACCTTCTGTCTCGTGTACTTTGTCAACTCTGACACAGAAGATCTTCTATGCCACGATCCAGCATCTATTCTCCCTGTCTCCCTCTGCCTCTCCTCCCCTCCAACTTTCCTATCGTCATGGTACTCCAGCTTTCTCCCTCTCAGCACATGACCAAAGAATGTAGATTGTGTCTTTATGACGTGGGCAATCAATTCTCTTCGTGAGTCAGTTTCTTTCAGGACGTCTTCATTACTTTTTTTATTGTCTCTCCAGGGTATTCTCATCATTCGTCTTTAAATCTTTATGTTATACACACACCCAATATAACACATACAGTATAACATATACAATGTAACGTTAACTCTAGAACATTTAGACAACTCACAGATTAGAACAAATATAACACACGATGTCAGAAAAAAAAAAAAAAAAAAAAAGACAAGGAGAGCAAACAGAAGCAGACAGAAATCAAGGTAGCTAGTTCACATTCCTACCGCTAGTGAAGGTGCTCTGGGCTGGTGTGTTATGATGGGAGGAGACAGAGGCCAAAGACTCACTCCCGGAGGGGGCCTGTGGAATAGGATAACAATTTATTAATCATATTATACAGTTGAAAGTCGAAGAACCGCTAAAGACATGGAACGAATGTTAAATACATTGGGAAAACAAATGTCTGCGGAATATGATAAGAATACAATTGGGACACATTTAAAAGCAGTGAAGAAATATAAATTTCTGGGCAACACTTTTTCTTAACAATCACAAGTCAAGAACAGATCGGGTCTTAGTCTTAGTCTAAGTCAAGATTTGAACTTCGCTGCAGTCAGGTTTCCCCAAACTAGCTCCGTCCCTGTGCCAGTGAAAATGACCCGAAATATCCCTCTATTGAATTTAAAAAAACTGGCGAACAAACAATTGTCCCGGAACAATCCAGAAATATGAGCACGCCGTAAATGCAAATTTCCTTTGCTAAATGTGCTAAAGCCAACAGTCGCCACCAGAAATACAATTTGTCGTTGATGGAAGTAGTCAGGCACGATAAGTTGGCAACTACACACATGTAGAATTAGTACATAAAGCATTTCACCAGCTCACACGTAAACCAGCTATCGGCTATATTGAACAGATCTGATGTGAAAGTAAGGGATCGCTCTAGAAGATAGACTTCTTCTCTTCTTTTCTCTACTCCTAGAATGTTTCGCAAAGTCAGGACAGGAAGGGATCTCTGGAACGAGACCTTCTGTTCTCTTCGCATAAAGTACTTTTTCTATGGTCCATCTTCTGCGTAGCCGACCTCTGATTTTGTTACCGATGTATCTGTATAACACATCTCTCTGCAGTGCCTTGTCTGGTGCCCTGTCTGGTGCCAGTCCTCTTATATGGCCAAACCATTTAATCTTTTGTACCGACTCTCTCCTGATTTAACTGTTCCTATCTCGAATTTTTCCTTGATACACCATGCATGATTCGTAAACATTTCCTTTCAGTCGTGATTATTTTATTGTTCTTCTAAAGACAGTGTCCATATTTGACACTGAGAGCACAGCGTTGATACGAATATTGCGTTGAGCATTGCACAGTTTAAGATGGGCTGATGACATTAAAGAGCTTCTGCAACTACGCGAAATGACAATAACCATTACTGCCCATCAAGTACTGGATTGCAAAATGTTCCTCCCCACGCCGCATAACAGTAACAGTGGAAATTGACGATGATGAGACCGTGTATAACATGTCTTAGCTTATGAATTGTGCACCCGTAGGTGGAGGGGGGGGGATAGACCCACCGTCCCTCAACAAGCATGTCGTAGGATGCGACTAATTAACGATAGTGTTGCTCCTAAAGACAGATAAATCGCAACCTAGATGTAAGCCGCAAAGAAACGTACCAAAGAATTACGAGTATTTTGCGTCCACCCTTAAATTTTCCCGCCCCCCCCCCACTCCCCCAACATAAGGCCCCAGAACCCATATGGGGAAACAGTAATCTAAAAGTCTTTCCCTGTTTCTTTCTTTCAGTACTGTCTCACTGTCTCTCCCTGCCTTTGTTGTCTGTCGCCCTCTTTCACTATCCTCACTCTCTTTCTTGCTTTCCCACACGTATGCTTTAGAAAAGCAAACATATTTCCAATTTATTCAGCCTGCGACCTCAGTTTTACTTTTGTTGCTTCTAACTGAGGTGTCATTAACAAAGACACAATGATGTAACAGAGGTGTCATTAACAAAGATACAATGATGTAACAGAGGTGTCATTAACAAAGAGACAATGATGTAACTGAGATGTCATTAACAAAGAGACAATGATGTAACTGAGATGTCATTAACAAAGACACAATGATGTAACTGAGATGTCATTAACAAAGACACAATAATGTAACTGAGTTGTCATTAACAAAGATACACTGATGTAACAGAGGTGTCATTAACAAAGATACAATGATGTAACTGAGATGTAATTAACGGAGATACACTGATGTAACAGAGGTGTCATTAACAAAGACACAATAATGTAACTGAGGTGTCATTAACAAAGATACACTGATGTAACTTATGTGTCATTAACAAAGTTACAATAATGTAACTGAGGTGTCATTAACAAAGAGACAATGATGTAACTGAGGTGTCATTAACAAAGAGACAATGATGTAACTTATGTGTCATTAACAAAGATACAATGATGTAACTGAGGTGTCATTAACAAAGAGACAATGATGTAACTGAGGTGTCATTAACAAAGAGACAATGATGTAACTGAGGTGTCATTAACGAGGAGACAATGATGTAACTGAGGTGTCATTAACAAAGAGACAATGATGTAACTGAGGTGTCATTAACAAAGAGACAATGATGTAACTGAGGTGTCATTAACAAAGACACAATGATGTAACTTATGTGTCATTAACAAAGATACAATAATGTAACTGATGTGTCATTAACAAAGAGACAATGATGTAACTGAGGTGTCATTAACAAAGAGACAATGATGTAACTTATGTGTCATTAACAAAGATACAATGATGTAACTGAGGTGTCATTAACAAAGAGACAATGATGTAACTGAGGTGTCATTAATAAAGAGACAATGATGTAACTGAGGTGTCATTAATGAAGAGACAATGATTTAACAGAGGTGTCATTAACAAAGAGACAATGATGTAACTGAGGTGTCATTAACAAAGAGACAATGATGTAACTGAGGTGTCATTCGTGTGTATAATATACCGCTACTCTTCTTGTTTGTTGAAACTAAATTCCTGACCGACTTCTGGTCATTGTTTTCAGTCCTGCCAATTGATTGGCTTCTGACAGACTGTGGCCGTTACATTTTCCTTTATTTATAGACTGAAGGGATACAGTTCTTCGCCTAGCTAATGAGTTGGGTGCATGGTGTGACACTGTGAGCTGCGGATTTAATTTAGAACGTTTCTTTTTCAAACTGTTACCAACGTGGTATTGTGAACTATAGATTCAAAAAACGAAAAAACAAAAACAAATTGTCGCGTGGCATGCTGCCATATATATTTCGTGGTGCCTTAGGTGATTTAAATTGATCGCGTGTGCTCATCTGTTTGCAACTGCTGTTTCCGTCTGTATATTTTTTCTTTTCATGAAATCTACTATTTGTGGCTCTTTGTTGGCAATACCACATATGTTCCATGTGCCTATGTAAGTCGTTTTTCTGTCTCGTCGTCCTTTAACGTTTCCAGTCCATTTTCCGTTTGGGGCTATCCGTTTATTTATCTCCTTTCTAATTTTCGTAGCAATAAAAAATCCACTGCCGGCTTGCTAGGTCAGTCGCAGTTTAAGGGAAAATCTGACCAAATGGACCCCATCCCATCTGGCGAGCCAGAGCCTCGTTCGCCTGTGGCCTCACGGCCACAGTTTCCCGGTCTGCACCACTGGGAGGAGAGGTTGACTTATGTGTACTGTGGGTCATCGGCAGGCTACTAATTTTCACTTTTCACCTCTCCTAAGAGAAGCTAGCCGACCCCAACCCTGCTGGATGCAGAGCCAGGCACAGTCCACATCTTGCAGACGGTGGATTGACGGGGTCTCCGAAACCTGCCAAAAGCATGGCCTCAGAACATCAGATGCTGCCCGCCTTGCTTATGACAGGAACTTGCATCTCCCCACAACGCTTAGCGGCATACGTGGAAGGAAAAAGTAAAGTAAAGTAAGTTTCCGTCTGTTACGAACTGTATTACTAATGTAGGACTGTTTGTGTTAGCACTTCTGGTGGCTGCTTTATGCTTTTTATGGATGTGTATGCTAGTGGATATGCTGAATCTGCAGTCTGTGTCAACATTTTCACAATGAACATTCTGTGTTTTTCTTTGGCACATGAGCGGAGCAACTATGAGGTGACCCGGTTGTTATAAAACTGACATTGAGATTACCAAGATATCTTGCTGACTCCTACAAGGCCTGCACACTTACCTGTTGATCACCAGTTCGATCTGGCCGCCCCCGTGTTTGATCAGGTCTTGGGCCTGTTTGTGGGTCAGCTCGCTGGCATCGCGGTTATTGATGGACAAAATGACGTCACCTCTCTGAAGCTCACCTTCTGCCGGACTGTTTGAAAACACCTGTGGAATAAAAAGAGAAGGACATATGTATAAGTAGGAGAGAACATCTTCAAGAGTAAGGAGACATATGTAGAAGTAAGAAAACACAGGACAGAAATGAAATAAAAATACGAGAGGTCACCAGTGAAAGCGAAAAATCTTCGGACTAAAACTCTACACATGTAGGAATAAAGGATAACACAAGCAGAAATAAGAGAGTACACAAGCAGAAATAAGAGAGAACACATGCAGAAATAAGAGAGAGAGAGAGGGAGATAAACAAAGACAACACAAGCAGAAATAAGAGAGAAAACACGTGGAAATAAGAGAGAGCAGGCAGAAATAAGAGAGAACAAGCAGAAATAAGAGAGAACAGGCAGAAATAAGAGAGAAAAGGCATAAATAAGAGAGAACAGGCAGATATAAGAGAGACCACAAGCAGAAATAAGAGATAAAACACGTGGAAATAAAAGAGAACATAGAAGTATCAATTGATTTGAGTTAGGAATTGACATGACAGCACACAGGGCTTTCCCATGTGGCTCCGTCCTCATCTTCAGCAGCCAGTGCAAAGTTCCAGTACTATTGATACCGGTCACAATCTGGTTATATGTCCGTCTCGCCTTTCGTCTGAGTGTACTGAGCCGGCCAGACCCTCTGGTTACACCCAGGTGCCTCATTCTCTTCAGACAATAATAATCTTGTTTCTCGACTGTTTCCGTTGCTTGTTACCAAAGGGCTTTGACCACATTTGCCTTGTCATGTATCAATTTCCCGCTCAGCGTGCAGATCCAGCCACTCTGTCTGCCTGTTCATAACCCACTTAGACGGCATGGTCTGGAGAAAAGTTCCAGAGTATGCTCACTACCCAGTGTAGCTTGCCACTCTGCTCAAAGCATTCCTGTCTTCACCTTTCTCAGCGTGCCGTTACAATTACAACATGTGTATGCATCTTGTTCTCTAGCCACCGGAGAGCTGCAGTTACCACATCCACCTCAACTCTCATTCTAGATGTATTGGCGTATGCTAGGCTGCCCTGCACTAAAGATTTGCTATTGGCTCTTGCTACGAGATTCCAGGCACTTCTCTTTCCTTTCAACACGGCAACATCTGCATAGATAATCAGATCACCTGAATTGTGATCATAACCTTACACAAGTCAGACTTTTCCTCTGGTACTCTGACCCACTCCTCTCCTCGCCCAATGTTCTCCAGCATGCATACTTGTCTTTTTGTGTCTTCTACTTGAGCCAACCACGACTTTCCCCCCTTTCAGCCTCTGACCCTTACCTACTGAAATACCTTAGAACTACAAATACGCAACTTGGGTTTAAAACTTTACAATTGAGGGCTTCATTTGTGACAGAAACATACTAGAGGGGAAAGTTATGTAGTGCGAAGTTAGTCTCTGCAAACAAAATAGGTCACTTTCCATTGATAACTTTCTTGAACTAATGTACTTTCTGGGCGGTTACGGGTGTGCCGTTCTGTTGTTTGCTTTCTGGCTTGTCTTGCATTTAAGTTTTTCGTTTGAGAAAGAGAATGCCTGTGTCATAGGTTGCAGCACTCTCTGGGAGGGTTGTGTGTTATGCCCAGTTACTCCATGCTTTTGTAAAAAGTGCTGGCTTGCTGAAATATACAACAAGCGTGTACATTTACGGAGAGCCACAGAGTTGTGGAGATCTGTTGCAGCTGACCTTTACTGTAGAGATGGAACTTGGCTAATTCAATGAAAAGAATGTTTAATGTTAAATTAAGAATCGACATAACAGCACTCAGAACATTGCTATAAGCGCTCCATCCCCATCTTCAACAGCAAGCGCGCAGTTCCAGTTCCAGTTGTACCAATGGAAATCTGATTTTATATTCATCTCACTGTTCCCTGAGTGCTGATCGTCGAATACATGCTCTGGTCACTCCCAGCAGTACCATTCTCTTTTGATCATGTCTTAATTAACAGAAGATGTATTGACTGACACTCATAGAAAGAAGTACAAAAACAGAAAAACACACTAGACAACATAAAAATCGGAAGCTACAGTTACCGTGCCGGGACTCGAACTTATCACCCCCAGACGGCAAGTGCGCCTGGCTATGGAAACAAGTGCACTAAATCATGGTCACCCCCAGAAAAAAATGTCTTATTGGCCATGTCTATTGTACAGCTTGAAATTCACAATTGTGGAATACGAACATAATTAATTTCACCCCATTGAAATGGCACCCGTGTTACATAAATGTATACTAACGAAGCATAAGTCGAATAACAAGCACAGCAACAATTTACGAACACAGTAGACTTTCAGATCATGAATACAAAATATAATAAACAGAATAAAAAGGAAAGGTGAGCTACAAATAAAGGAACTGGCAAGGCGAAGACGTCCACCAGAAACGCTGAGACGAACGTCGATGAGAGAGCCAAAAGATGTTGGACTAGATTCCGTCCATTATATCGAAGTGATTGCACACGGTGGAATGGATTGCGAGCCCAATGCGGCATAAAACCGCACAACAGCACAATGAAGAGCAGGAACCTGAGAAGATTCTTTTGACGAATACACCAACAGTTGGCGGGAACTCCGTCGCAGGTTGTTTTCTGTAAAAACATTGTAGATTGTTTCCCATGTCCCCGTGTATGTTTGAACGGCAGGTAACAGAAGGTTTACCCCCAGCCGAATCCTGGCGACAGCAGAAAGTTACCGAGCCTCGGCTCACAATGCACGGTGTGTCCGCACGTGCCTTCTTGCTTGTGTGTAAACATTCATCTCGCCACCTGGTGTTACGCAAGCAGGTAGGAAGTGATACCTGGAGGTGCCGAAACAGATGTGTGTGGTGGATATGTCAATTCAGGGCCGCCGACACATAGAAATCATTGGGAAGTGTAGGCGGCTTTGGGGGAGGGGGCGCATTCTCTTATAAATCTTTCAGTAAGTAAGGAGTGCTCAATGGAGTAAAGCCTTGGTTAAAAGGCCAATAATAATGATGTGCATATATGAGAATCGTCGTAGCGTAGCGGCTAAACGCTCACATGCGGATCGGAAAGTCGTTTGTTTGCTCCTTGGCGGGGCCGGATATTTTTCAAAAATGACTTTGGCTCCCAGGTCGACCAAACCTAGAAGGGGTACCAGGTTCAGTCCTGGGAAGTCTAGGCGGCCGGCGTGATGCTGTCACGTCACCAACTAAGTGCTGAATTGTCTATAAAATATTGTTCTAGCCATGTATGCCCGATACACCTAGAGGCCTGGAAACGGGTCCCTAATTTTACTATGTATGTTTGATATATATGAAATAACAAGAAGTGTATAAATAAATATTTACAAGAGAATATTTCAACATGGCTAGAGGTGCGGTACTTCCATATTTTAAGTTGGTTTAGGAACGGTTCAGCCTAATCCCACCACACGCATACAAATTATATTTGGATGACCGGTGGGGTTTTGGGGCGGGCTGGGGGCGCTCAATGCGTGATCTCCAGGTTTCCGGCGCTCCTGCATCAATCACACAAGCCAACAGTCTATGGTTGATGTACCGCTAATATACGAAAGAAAGACGTGTAGTGGTTGGCTCGTGTCCCAGCTTGTGTGATTGTACATTAGAAAACATGGCTGATAGAAAACACCGCTGGCGGTGAAGAAAGCGACAAGAAAGAAGATGAGGGGTGGGGGGAGGAGGGCAGGGGGAACGCCAAGCACTTTTGTTTATTTCTTGGATGACGGGAAAGGCAGGGCACGAAGGGACGGTAACTCGCGGGGAATGTGGTAAATAAATGAAGGCAGATGCTAGGCAATTTCCTGACATTACAAACAAGATGAGTCGCCACGCCACAGCGTAGCCACCGGGATCTTAGGGCTCCTGCACCTTGAGGGCTTCCGCCATCTGTCAGGGTGCTTACACCCCCACCCCAACCTTTCAGGGTGCTTACCCCACCCCCTTAATCTTTCAGGGTGCTAATCCCCCTCTCCCCCACAGCCCCCCCCCCCCACCCCTGCCCATACCTTTAAAAATCTTAGATAGGTTAAGCACCACCAGCCCTTCCTCTACAAAATTTGCAAAAGGGGTAAGTGGTTTCTGTAACCATGTATAGACGTTACATATGAAAGTATTCGTTGACACATTTCATATTTTCTTCAAATGAACTATTCAACTGTTGGTTATTCTGCACAAAATAATAATAATATTACTTATTATTGCGCACTTAAGCGAGGCTTAACCTTTCACTACTGCAGACTATACAATTTTAAGAGACTGACACACCCTACCCCTCTCCTCCCACCAAACCTTTCTCCTTTTTTTTTCTCCAAAGATTTGTTTGTGACGGCATGCCTGTGACACAGAGCGTAGTGTTGCTGCCTGTCAAGATAAAGAAAGGGGTTCAATCAAAGACGTCTTCTCCTTTGTCGTCAGACTGTGGTCAAGCTATAGTGTCCGGGTTTTCTGTTTGTTTTGCTCATCTAGAATGGTGTGAATGACGGATTTGTTCCTCGTTGTTATTTTGTTTCCCTGCACGATTGTTACATGGTCTTTCTATCTATTCCCTCTCTGGGCGTAGTTAAGGGTCAGCGGCTGAGAAGAGGAAAGTCATGGATGGCTCAGGTAGAAGACACAATCAGACAGGTTTGCATCCTTGAGAACATTAGGCGAGGAGAGGAGTGGTTCAAAGTGCCACCTGAACATTCAGACTTGTGTAGGGTCATAATCACACAGAGACGGGAATGCAGAGACTGGCCAGCAGGTGCCACAGAGATGGAAATTTAGCAATTAATTTAAGATAATGCTCGAGGATTTGATCATTCACACAGACGTTTCAGTGTCAAGAGGCAAAAGAAGTGCTTGGGGCTTCTTAGCAAAAGTTAATGGTCAACGTTTGGTGCAGGAGAGCCTAGCATATGATATCACAACATCCAGCTGAAGAATGGAGGTGGAGGCAGTCACTGCAGCTTTCCGCTGGCTATAGAAAACGACACACACACATATCCTGATTGTAACTAACCCAGAAAGCATGCTGAGGAAGATCAGGA